CCTTAAAAAATGCGCGAAACATTCAAAAATGTCCGAAACTCTCCGTTGAAACAAAAAGCCTAATGGCGAGTCACTACTTGGCAGCGTAAACCTTCTTTATGAAGCATTTAATTCACAGCAGGCGTTTTTCTCAACGTGGAGCGTCTGCTCTAGTGCTGGGCCCTACGGGCCTATGTGTCAATTAAGCATCCTTCTGACTGTATGTCAGCTGCTACTAATCACTGCCAGCTGGACACTTCATTTGGTTTGTTCTACTTAAATAAACCCTTTGCTCCTGCTCACTTAAGGTGTTCTGAGGTTTCAAAAGCCTTGGGACGTACAGAAAACTCTCCAGGTGCCTGTTCCAACCTCCACCAGCCACAACTCTGCTTACTCACCTGCGTGGAACTTGCCCTAAAAGACCAGATTTTTCTCCCTAGCGTCCTCGGTCGTCTTCTGTCACATCAGCCTTCTGTCTTTTTGAAAGAAAGGGCACTGTGGGAATTAGACTGAGTCCCAGCTCTGCCCCTTGTGTGTTATTTGGGCAAAACGGTTCACCTCTGGGCCTCCGTTTCTGCACATGTGCAAGGGCAGTGCCGTATGGTCTTCAGGGGCCCCTCTGCCCCCTCCTTCTGTGAGCCCACAGAATTTGGGTTTTCAGCACCCCCGCCCCCGCCACCAACCAAACTGTCATGAGGACACAGATTTGTGCGAAGACCACCTGACTCTGTTTTTCCAGTCAGAGGATCCAGCATTGATTTTTACTGGTTTCTCTTTTCGAACAACACATAGCTTAATGCTTTGTAGTTCATTCGCTTCAGATCGCTTTTAGAACAAGTAAACGAGTGAATGAACGAGGCCTGTCCATCTGAACTATAATCTGCTCTCTTAAGAGGCTGGACCCTCTTTGCTTTTGAACACTCTAAAACATTTTCTAGCTGATTAACTTGGTGGTTCTTTGTATTACAATAACCTTCAACCATGTACATTTTTAATGTTGTTCAGCAACATCCATAACAGAAGAGGCAAGGACGTACCCACAAGAGAGCAGCCATCAAAGCCATCCCCAGCGACCATCACTGTCTAGGTCAGGTCCATGCCAGTTCCTGTTGAAGGCATAAGTGTCAGGGGAACTTTATTCTTCTAAGAACCATCTTTCTCCAATTAGAGTAATTTTAAGCAGGTATACAGTAGTTTGCTAAACTTATAGGAAAGATAGCATGCTATGAAATAGCGACTATAACAAATAACACAGTGCTAGACATGCCTTAAAAAGTATTGCCCACCCCCTCTCTTTTCTGTGCTGTGTGTGAAGTATGTTTCTGATTTGTTTTTCAGGGCAGCCTTTGGTAAGGAGTCAGAAGTTCTTATTGGGAACCTGGGTGACAAATTAATCCCTCCACAAGACATCCTCCGTGATGTCAGTGACCTCAAAGCTTTGGCCAACATGCATGAAAGCCTGGAATGGTTAGCAGGTCGAACAAAGTCAGCTTTCTCCAATCTTTCTACATCCCAGAGTAAGTATCTATCATGGCGGCTGTTTTGGGGACAGCAGAGGAACTAGACTGAGTAGTTTCATTGGAAATGTGAGTGCATGTACATGTCCCCATATGAGGGAAGGCCAGGTTGTCAGAAGGTCTGTGCTAGATCCGTGCAAGAATTCTGCTTGGGCTGTGCCTTACGTCCTTTGTGGTTCTCCTAAAGGACGTAATCTCGGCTTTCCTGTGAGACGTGGAAGGCCAAAAAAGGTTCGTGTTCACATAGCTTGATGTCAAACCTTTGAAACATAAAATCGTGTAAGAACACACCATTGTGTCTCAGGAACAGAAAGCAACACCTTTGCCCTCCTCACAATAACTTCTCAAGGATGGAAACAGTATCTCAGAGCTGAGCACACAGCTGATGTTTTCATTTTAATGAAAAAGTGTCTAACAAGAGAATAATAGAAGTGACGAAGATGCTAGGAAATAAAAAAATGGGAAAACCAGTTATTCCCGAAAAGAGATGGATGAGAGATAACTTAACTATAGGATTCAAGGAAAGGAACGTATAGGATATGAAATAAAAACAGGAAACTTTTTTCCATTGAGGACCATTGACTCTGAGAGACATCATTTGAAAACTTTAAGGCCCATAAACTTTATTCAATAACTATAAAATAAGTATTTTTTAAATTTAAAAAATTTTTTAAGTTTATCTTTTTTAGTGTTCATTTATTTTTGAGAGAGAGAGAGAGAGAGAGAGAGAGAGAGAATGAGCAGGGGAGGAGCAGAGAGAGAGGGGGACAGAGGATCTGAAGCAGGCTCTACACTGACAGCAGAGAGCCCGACATGAGGCTCAAACTCACAAACCATGAGATCATGATCTGAGCCAAAGTCAGATGCTTAAATTACTGAGCCACCCAGGCACCCCTTATTTATTTATTTTGAAAGAGAGAGGGAGAGAGAGAGAAAGGGAGAGGTAGGGCAGAGAGAGAGAGGGAGAGAGAGAATCCCAAACAGGCTCTGCACTGTCAGCACAGAGCCAGACACGGGGCTCAAACCCACAAAGCGTGAGATCATGACCTGAGCTGAGTCAAGAGTCAGATGCTTAACCAGCTGAGCCACCCAGGCACCCCAATAAATCCTCTTTTTTAAGGCATTAGTTCAGAAGTATGTGTTAGGCAGTTAAAAGAAAAGCAAAGAGGGGTGCCTGGGTGGCTCAGTCAGTTAAGCGTCTGACTTTGGCTCAGGTCATGATCTTGCGGTCCGTGGGTTCGAGCCCCGTGTCGGGCTCTGTGCTGACAGCTCAGAGCCTGGAGCCTGTTTCAGATTCTGTGTCTCCCTCTTTCTCTGACCCTCCCCTGTTCATGTTCTCTGTATCAAAAATAAATAAATGTTAAAAAATAATTTTTAAAAAAATAGAAAAGCAAAGAAAAAATGATAGGAAGAAGGAATAAAGGCACTGACAGATTTGAGTGCATAAATAAACAACAGAAAAAAGTAACATAACAGCAATAACATGAAAGAAACGATCGGCTTTGAACTTAATATTAGAGTTAATGTTAGGAGATAATTAGAAAGAAAATACTTGCATTGTTTGGACTGAACTTCAGTGTAAGTTATTATCATCGTCTTTTGAAAAGTCATTATTTGATTAACCACGGTTTCCAGCCTAGAGATGGGAAGAGGTGTGGCTGAAACTCACAGGGGTAAATTCTCCCCTGCCATATGGACCCAGAGAGTCTCAGAGTCCCTTGAATGCTCACTGCTTAACTGGTCTCATGCTGATTGTGTAGCTATCCTGAAGGTCAGTAGCAGGTGGGGAAAATGGACAGAAGGAAGGGGTTTTGAGCAAGATTATAAACTCTGCTTTAGAAATCCTCTTGAAATACTACTTTTACTATACTTTTATTTTTATACTTTTTATTATTTAGCATTACTTTTTCTCTGAGGATAAAATTATACATATTTATTCTCAGAATCTATAAGAATTGGATAGTTTGGGCACAGTGTTGGGCCTGCGCAGATCTGTAGATATCCTTGAAGGGCCCTCAACTTGCTAATCCTGTCATTATCAGGCAATCTGTTACAAGCAGTTGTCTAAATTATCCGTTTTATCTCCCAGTCCCACCCCACTCCACCACAAAGAAAAGTCAGAGCTAATTGCCCTTTTGATAATTGCCAAATAAACAGTCCCCTAAAGGGACCCCGTGCTTCTTTTCCCAGTTTTTCCTTTGACCCTTACAAATGCCGGGCTGGTTGGGTTGGCTTATTAGTGATGATTGGAAGGGGTCCTCTCGCTTGGTGGGCCATCAACATCTAACGTTTAATAATGCAGTCGCTTATTTCAGTGGCTCAGCATTCCAGATTTCTGTTCTGTCCATTTTAAAAGGGTTTTTACACAGCAAGACAGTACATAACCTCTACAACAAGCCACTGCCGGGCTAACCTGGCATCATCTGTTTGCAAAAAGAGAAAGATGTTCTCTGAGTTACGCTCAACTTTGTAATTGCACAATTTAGCTGTTGTCTTCATGTCACTGAGAGTCCCTAGTACACTTGATGTCTAATTCTTGCGTTATTCTGACAAAGATCTCTTCGACCACACCCATTAATACTTTGTCTCCTGTGCTCAGTTCCATTTTGTAATATAAGTTATACTCTCTTGGTTCCTTTCACGGTGATTATTCCACCCAGTGAGTGATTTAAGTGACTGTCAGCATTTTGATGATCAGTACAAAACCCAAGTGAACTATAATCACTACTTATGTTGTCTTTGCTAAAACAAAGCACCAAGCAAACCTGGTTTATTCCGCTAACAACGAGCCTAGCTCACCCACACTCGTCTGTTCTTTGAATTCCCAAGAGAGGTGCCCATTGATGTTTATAATTTGAGCAATGCAGGGAATTCTCTGATAATGGGTTACTTTGATTGCCCCATGTCAGTGTGACTCTAGAAAGGGAATAAGGGACAGGTCTTTATTATTCTTTTGAAAAGTGAACTAAATGATCACCTCAACAAAAGCGTTTCCAAATCCAGAGATTGGATAACATGAAGGGAATGCCAGCCTTTTATCTAGCACTCATGGATCCTCAGCAGGATGGGAAGAAATCCAGAAAAGATTGTAGGTTTATTTCTTGTTCTGCATCCTGTTCATCGTTTGGTATGGTAAATACCAGGCTTCGGTATAATGCGGAAGCTATTAATGTGAGGGAGTAGAGCAAGTTGGCAGAGAATTATTTTCATAGTAGAATATTTGTCCAGACAGTACAGCAGGACTCTCACCCTCCCGAAACATCCACGTCATACAGAAGAGAGTATAGTGGGCGCTGGGGCAGCTCGGTCGGTTGAGCATCTGACTCTTGGTTTTAGCTCAGGTCATGATCCCAGGGTCCTGGGATCAAGCCCCATGTTGGGCTCCATGATGAGTGTGTTGCCCACTTGGGATTCATTCTCTCTCTCTCTCTCTCTCTCTCTCTCTCTCTCTCTCTCTCTCCCCCCTCCCCCTCCCCTTCTGCCCCTCTCCCTGCTCACGCTCTCTCTCTCTCTCAAATAAATAAAAATTTTTTTAAATATTTAAAAAAACAAAAAAGAAGAGAGTATTGCCTTTTAGAGGTAGGACATGGCTGCCCATTTGTCCAAGAGGTCAAAGTTGGCCATTTCTTCAAAGATAATTTTTCTTTTGGTGTTTGCCTAAATGTCACTCTGTCTCTCTATACTCAAAGGGTCTCCTCCCCTCAAATAGGTCCTGCCTACATCAAAGGCACTGTTCTTACTTTTGTCCTACTGCAGTCCTCAGTTCCTGCTCCATTTCCTTAGGTAACCCCCACCACCCTCATCTTCCTTATGCCTGTTCTACTTAGGGTTCTTTCCAGTGAAAGAAACAAACTAATTGAAAGAAAAAAAAATAATAATGCATTGACTCATAAAACTGGTTAATCAGAAGACTTCAGGAGTGGCTGGATCCAGGTTTACAAGACATGCTTACACACCTCTGCATGGTCTTTTGTACTCTCTCTCCCTCCCGCTTTCTGTCTCACTTCTTCTGTCTCCTGGTATTTTCTCTGTATTCCTTTCCATCTCAGGCAAGCACTTTGTATATGGCAACATCCTTGGCCACCAGCAGTCCCGGGATTTATTTGATCCCAGACAAAAAGAGCATTTCTGCCAGGAGCTCCAGAAACAGTTCCAGAAAGGTCTTGGGTTGACCCAGCTTGACCTTCTTTCATGAGTTTCTCTGATTCTCCTTGTATAAATCTTGTTTTCTGAGTCTGTTTTTCTCCCTACCTGTACCTCAGTCTCTGTCTCCTACTCCCAGAACTCTTTTATATGCAGGACATTTTCAGTGCAAAGAAGTTGAGCGGGATCATAGTTAGCACTGGGCGTTCAGGATCTAGGTTTATACATATTTTCCCTCATTGATCACAATTTCAGCCTTGTAGTACAGATTCCAGATAACATCTGCCCTTTGTAATATCTGCTGTGTGTAAAAATCCTAAACAAAGACTCGGAGATTAACTGTTATGGTTAAGAAAATTCTCAGCAAATGTGACCTACATAAAAATTATTGGAGTGTATTCAATTTGAACACTAATGCTGTTCTTTTGTATTGTATCCTTTTGTTTTAGGGATGTGTTGCTTTTAAAAATAGACTACAGAGGACTACAAAGGGCTCAAGGGTTTATTCTGTCTGCATTGCTTCCTCAGGGGGCCTCCTCTCTGGCTTGGAGTCTGTAAAAAAAAAAAAATCTCCAGGATTAGAGATTCTAAAACATCCTTGATTACATATTCTGCTCTTCAAGTAACCTTACCGTCTGGGAGGTCTGTCTTTTTCTTTCTTCCTTTCTTCCTTCCTTCCTTTCTTCCTTCCTTCCTTCCTTCCTTTCTTTCTTTATTTCTTTCTTCCTTTCTTTCTTTCTCCAAAGTCCCTTTGCTTCAGTCTAAACCTCTTTCTTCTGTCGTATTCTTCAGAAATTAAATGTTGGCTCTTTTTTCTGTAAAATACTAAATGTGTCTGAAAATATTTCCCTGGCCCCTACCTGCCCATCTCTACAGATTAGATAGACTAAGACTTCTGGCCTGAGGATCCCAATCTCTGAATCAAGAGCAACCAAATGTGGGAGAATTAGGAGCCCAGAGCAGGCCCAAGTTCACTGACACTCTCTTGGATGGAGACTTGGCTGTTTGTGAATGTGGGCCCTTCTGTAGGTGACTTTGACCCAGGCTTCTCCACCTCTGCTCGCAGTTCTCATTACCGAAGTTCTTGCTGAACCCACATGCATGGATGATAAACAATAAAATGCCATACCCTACTCTTTTCCAGTTTAAGAAATCAAAAGGTTAAAATATCACTCTAACCTCCAGACTGAGTAAATGTCATAATTTTGGTTCCTGGAATTGGTTCTGGAATTGTACTATTAGTTATACAATTATTTATCCACTTCCTTTCTAATTGTAAAAACCATTTTTAAGCATACAGTACAGAAGTGTTAAATATATTATTGTATAGCAGATCACTAGAACTTTTTCATCAAACTCTATACCCATTGAACAATTCTCCATTTCCCCTCTCTCCCAGCCCAGGGGAGCCACATTCTACTTCCTGTTTCTAGAAGTTTGACTTTAGATACCCTTACATATTTGGAATCATACCAAATTTATCTTCTTGGGACTGGCCTATTTCACTTAACATAATGGTGTCAAGATTCATCCATGGTATAGCATATGATAGGATTTCCTTCTTTTTTATGGCTGAAAAATATTTCATTGTATGTGTATACCACCTTTTTAAAATTCATGCATCTGTCAGTGGACGTTTGGGTTGCTTCCAACTCTTGGCTGTTGCAAATAACGCTGTAGTGAATATGTGTGTGAAATTATGCTTCTTTCTGGAAGTGAAATTATTGCTAGGGATCTTAGAAACCATCTGGTCCAACTCCCTTATTTTGCACACGAGGAAATCGAGGCTTCAGAATGGTCACGCTGCATGTCTGTGCCTGAACTGGGATGGATCCAGCTCTTCAAATTCCCACTTTAATTGTCTCTCCGCTGCATCATTGTCTTGACTGGGACCAAGACAGTGCCAGCAAGGCCGTTCATGCCATATTTCTATTAAAGCATCCCGGAGGGTCATCATGTTTTTTTTAACACAAGCACTTTAATGCCAACATCCAACCTATGATCATTTCTGATCATCATTGTCAGTGTGTAACCAGAATTTCTAGGCCTTAAATATACAGGATTATTGTACATATCCCTTGTGAATGTCATCATAGTGGTCGGAGAACATTTCTCGAATTTGTCACTGTCTATCTTTGTTCTATGGGTATTCTCTAACTTAGAAGCTCCACCTGTCTTGTTACCATGTTATGTAATATATTCGAGATACTGCACTGTCCTATCCAGTAGCCCCTACCCTTGTGTGGCGAATTAAACTTAAAGAAAACTCAAAATTCAGCTCCTCATTTGAATGCTCCACATTTACAGCAGTTCAGTGTTTCCCAAACTTAGCAGTGAATTCTCTCACCACAAAGCACCTCACAGGACTTTTCTTCCATGGAACAACTTGTGGGAAACACTGCCCTGTGCTATTATTTACATAATTGGTTCAGCATCTTTCATGTCTCCCAACATGGTCAGGTACAGGGCGGGACAGATGTTTTACTGTTGCAGGAATATAATTTTGTATCATCGGCAAACGCGCACGCCATCAGATGGTTTGTGTTACAATTTGGTTGATTATTTGATTTGTGTGATCATTTTTAGAAACGTTCACGTTCTACCAGTCACGTCAACCAGTATAAAATGACTGTGGTTCCCTTTCTCGCGTGTTGCAAACTTGGCTGGTACACTGACCTTTCTCCAGTCGCTGTGCTTCCCTCACGGTTCCTGAAGACTCCAGCTGCTCATGTAATCCCTTACCTCCATTCACTGTTGAATGCTTGTATGTCCATTGTGGGGGTCCAGGCATGGATTTTTTATTAGAATTTTTATTTCGGAAGAGCTTTAGATTCAGAGTAAAGTGACAGAAATGTCAGAGTTTCCTTGCATCTCACACCCATTTGTCCCGACTGTTAACATCTCACACAAGTACTGACACACTCCTCACAACTAATGAACCAGTATTGATACCTTATTATTATTAACTAATGTCTTTACTTTATGAGACTCTTCCTTAGTTTTTACCTAATGTCCTTTTTGCATTCCAGGATACCCTCCAGGATATAATCTATTTAGTCATTATGTCTCTTTGAGTGCATGTAGACTGTGACAGCTTCCTAGCCTTTCTTTGCTTTTGATGACCGTGACCGCTTTGAAAGGAAAACTGGTCAGGTATTTTGCAGAACGCCCTTCAGTATGGGTTTGCCTAATCTCTTTTCGTGATGAGACTGAGCTTATGGGTTTGGGGAAGGAAAACCACAGAGATAAAGTGCTATTCTCATCAAATCGTTTCAAGAATAATTCCTATCAGTGTGACTTATCACTGATGATGTTCTGGGATTGATTTTTATGTCTCCAATGCATGTAGTCCTCTCTAGACAGTTCCTTCTGAATTCTGGATCGACTTTCCACTTACCCACCACAAATTGTTCTGTGTATCTTCGTGGTGACTATTTTTTAACATGATGAATGAATGCATCTATTGTAAGCTCAATGTTTGGGCAAGTAGAATCGCTGCTAAAAAATAAAAAATTAGTTATCTACCTTAAACAATTATGCGGTTGATATAGATTATATAATCTTGTGGGTCTGAAAGTCTGTGTGTGAGAGGAGCTGTTTTTTCTACCCTGAGCCCCTTGATTAGGGCCTATAGCTACTTCTTAGTTACCATATGTGCTAAACAGTCCTTAGTTCGGGGCGCCTGGGAGGCTCATTATGTTGAGCACCTGACTTCGACTCAGGTCATGATCTCGCGGTCTGTGAGTTCGAGCCCCGCGTCGGGCTCTGTGCTGACAGCTCAGAGCCTGGAGCCTGTTTCAGATTCTGTGTCTCCCTCTCTCTCTGACCCTCCCCCCGTTCATGCTCTGTCTCTCTCTGTCTCAAAATAAATAAATGTTTAAAAAAAAATTTTTTTTAATTAAAAAATAAGTAAATAAAGCCATTCCTCCTACCCTTCTCAGGACAGCCAAAGGAGAAGGGCACAAGGAATCCTTGTCTCTCTTAACACGAAAGACTGCAATTGCCAAACCAATGGAATGAGTGTGGAAGTGTTTACAAGTCAACTGTATCACTGAAAATAAAGATGAAAAAGGTCCAGGTGTCTGTATACTCCCATCCCTCACGTACGTGGTTTTGTGGTGTCCCAGGAGGCCTTTATGCGTTGCCTACTATAATTTAACATTTTCTAGAAGATGGAATATGAATTCTCCCATGCTGGAGGTCACTATCGTGGGCTTTTTCTGCCTTGCTGGCAAATGTAAGATAAAATGTGGACCCCTCCACATACTCACACCTACTGCTGTTTGTTTTCCTGTCTTGACACAAATGAGAATAAAAATGTCCCTAGCCAAGATCTCATGGGACGCTGTCCTGTTTCAGCTTTGCGTTTGTCAAACTATTAAGCCAGAGTTTTCCCTGCCATCATTTCATCTGATTATTTTTAATTAGAACTCCACGCGAGCTAATTCCTCTCTTGCTTCGGTATTTACAAGTTTCAAATATTTGTAGACTGTTATCAGACAGCTCCTCACCAGGCATTGCTTAGTCCGACCCTGCATATTCCGTTTCCTTCCTCGTCTTTCTGAGGTTAGGCTTTCTGTGCCATAATCAGTTTTTAGTCTTGCTAGTAGTCATTTTCTTAAACTGGCTTTCCTTCTGTGGCCTCACTCTCACCTTCCTTCCTCTATCAGTGATGCTGCCCACATTCGCTGCCTTTGGTTAATTTCATTTTTACCGAGAAAATTCAATTACCACTGGCCTTACATCTTGTTCGTGAGTTTCCTGTCCACTGTCCAACTCCGAATTTATTTTGATCTTACCTAATTGACGCTGCTTCTAGTTCTGTATGTGCTTTTCTCACTTTTTAAAATAATGTCCCAAGTCCGTTTCCGTGTGTACCCAGTTTCACAACTAATCATATGTTTTGTAGGAGTAAAAACACCAAATGACGATTTTACGATGATTCCATTTTGTTCACTTTCAGTCTTCATTGTACTCTGTTGTTTATAAACTGCTTGAAATTCATCCTAAGGACGGACTGTGTGAAAAGCCCCTGTGCTCAGGATGCTCACCGATTCGTAGGACTCTGTTGAAACCCTGTTGTCACTAACAGTAGAGATGCTGGTGCCTCTCTCATTTTATGAGAAAGACCATCTGGACCCCTCCAGCTCTTTCTCCGCATTGATGTGCTGTGCGCTCTTACTGCTAATTATCGTTCCAGCTTCAGGCTGATCCATGTTTCTTTGCTTTCAGTACACTTTAAGCACTGATACACAATGGTCAGCCCTCTTAACATTTCCACCCTGTGGTTCCCTTTCCTCTCATTGAGTACCCTCACGTGGCTCCTGACTTGTGGCCATTTTTGCCTGTCCCTGAATACCTATGATGTTCTTTTAGTTCAGAGACTCTTTCCCGTACTTCTCCTGGTCTAGGAGGCATACAGCACATATGTGACTTTGAAGTCAGGTACACTTGGGGACACGTGAAGGGGGTTATATCACCACAGGGAATTTATTTAGCCTCTCTGAGCTAAAAAGGTCTCTTTACCTGTCAAATAGAAACCGTGATACGTACTCCTTGGGTGGCCATAGCCATTAAATGAGATGATGAACTTGCGAGCTGTTAGCAGGGTGTTGTGGGGACTCCATATGGGGTTCCCGAGGTCCCTACTCTCAGTGTTCTCACTAGAGCTCTCACTCATCGCTCTCCTCCCTTAGTGCTGGGCCTGGACTTTCCTCTTGCCCTTTCCAGCTTCTCTTTGATCTCAAGTCCTACGGTTGGTTGCGTTTAAAACTCTAACATCTGTGCTCCCGAATCATTTCTAGTAAATCACGGCTCTCAGTCCACAGGGTTCCCCAGTGTTTCAGAGGTCATGGGATGTGTCTGAGAATGGACCTGCGTCTGAAAGTCGCCTCTGTGTACAAGTGCCCATCTGAGAAGCCAGAGTTGAATCTCAAAGAGGTAGCCTTTTTGTTCTTCAAAACTGTGAAAAGAGGACTCTGTTATTATTTAAAGACAGAACCAGAAACAATTCCCTTCTTGTCAATCAGCTGGTCATCTGTAGAGTTCATGGTCCTGTCTGCATACTGATTAGGAAGCAGTACCCAACCTCCCTCAGCTCAGAGGTGATTATCAATTGTGAAGCTATAGAAGGCCAGTGCTGTGGGCATTTCAGTGTAATTATGGAGCTCTGAGTATCTCTCCATAAAGAATTATGTGGCTGTTTCTTTGAAAATGCCAACATTTGTATCCATAAGGGAAATATTTTATTAAAATATGGTAATATCATGGAGACTTAAGTATGGTGGCTGGGAGCTTCCAGCTGAATGATTATATCTTCAAACAAAACTCCAAAGTGGAAACAGGAAGAAGAAATAAAATTGAAAATCTTTGGGAAAAGGAGGAGGCCGGAAGGAGTTGGAAAACAAGGGAGGGCTCTAAAATGACCTCCCGAAATGACAGAGCCAGACAGAGAAGAATAGTGGAAACGCAGGATTACCTGAGCCCCCACCCGAGCTGAGGTGAGGAGTAGCTGTTAGGGCAACAGGACTTGAGCGAAACAAAACCTAAGGGGACTGATTTGGCTGCCAAATAGGAAACCTCTTCTAATGAGAATCGAGTGAAAGATTGTACCTGAAGGCACTGATTGTACTATTCAATCTGAGCTCTTATCTAGAAAAGCCCTGAGATAGTTGGGTGCTTTAAAACTTGAGATAAGCCCACTAACCATGACTTAATGAACTCCTCACTAGAAAAAGAGTATGTCTCTTAATTTCTTCACCCTTGAAACTGAGTTTAGGTATGCTGCAGAGTTGAGTGGGTAGGAGAGACGAATCCTGACAGGAAAAACAAAGAGAATAGAGGGCTGGCCCAGATTTAATGGAAGAAATCACCATCTGTGGAGATTGAATTTAGAAAAATGTTCTAAATGTAAACTGGATATGCTTTTTTCAGACAGCTTACTTATTAATCAATAGTGCATAAGGACCCTTTCCAGACTGCCAGCCCCAGTAAAGCGTAGCAACGGGGCGCTATGTGCGAATCGTGTGTGCATGCGACAGTCCCAAAGGGCATCACGATGACGGGAATGGACTCAACATTTAGATTGCATTTCACACTTTCAAGGTCCTTTGTAACCATTAATTCTTAATCCCTTATCCCTGCCTGAAGCTGCAGTTGACGGGCCAGTCTTCATTCTCTCAGTTTCACAAAGCATGATCGTGAAACAGAAGTTTGACCATTGGCCCGAGGTCAAAATGGGACAGTGACAAAATCTAGACTAAAGCCTGACTGTTGTCAGAGTGCAGACGACGGTGCCTAGAAAAACAATACAATCACTTGCTGCTGCTGTGCCTCAGAACACCAAGCCGGCGTGCCTCTGTTTCCCCGCACGCAGAGATAGTGCTCTTCTTCGACTGTCTCCCAAAATTACAGCAAGATGGGTGTGATGCCGCCTCCTGGTGTGGATGGCATTGAGTGTGCTTTAAAAGGGGACATGGGGATAAATGATCTTGACATTTCACCCATTTTAAGAAGGTGAAGCTTAAAAGCTGTACCCCTACCACCCCCGACAAGGATCTGTCCTGGAGCCAAATTTTGTAGTCATGGATTTAGGGAAAGGTTCTCTTTTACTTTATTGTCCTGAATTCAGTACTATAGCTTATATCCAGTATTAGAAATCATACAAGGAAAATGTAAAAGACCTCTTTCTTCACAGGAGATAGAGGGACATGCCAGGTGCAGGGCCCTAAGACACAGTGTTGTTTATTAACAGCAGTTAATTCAGCACACTAACATCTTTGAGCTCTGGTCATTGAATCCCGGGTGGATTTGACTGCGGTCCCTAACTAACAACTTAATCCAATTGTTATGAAAGGAAGCATAATGAGGACTTTTCTATAAGAGTGATGAAAAACCCAAGTGTCTTTCTGGAAACCGAGAATATCTGATCAGATTCTTCAAGGAAGCAAAAATCCTGTAAATGTCAGAAAGATGTCACATGCCGGAAAACCTCTTTGGTCAAATTCATCTGAAGAAGGTACTATTTGTAGGTGACTTTTCAGCACGTCTGTCAAAAGCTTCTTGCTACAGATAAAAATTCAATAACCTTTCACTGTGGATGTGCCACAATTATCACTCATTTAAAAACAGTCCCTCTAATAGAGTATTTTATCATGCTGGACAGTCTCTGCATTGTTCATTATTTAGTGTTTGCTAAGCTGATGGCACTTCCACAGCGCTTTTCTTATCTCTCCTTCTTCAGAATTGGATTTTATATTTCCGAACCAGTCAGATATGACAAGTCATTTTCTTCCCTCTTGTCTTTTAAGAAACGCAAACTTGATTTTTTTTTTTTTTTTTTGACAATCAGCACTTAAAGATTAAAGTTATTGGAAATGTCTGTATTAACTAGCGTTGGGACGTTGTACTGGAGAACTACCAATTTTAATTGCAATTGAGGGTTTCCTCTCGTCTTTTTTCTTCTTTTTATTTTCCAATATGTGTGTGTTCTAGATCTCTTTGGAGCCTCATTCTTCTAAAACACACAGCGTATGGCAACGATGAGGTATTATGAAGCCTGATGTTGTTAGAAGACAAGACGAGGTATTATCGGAATTATTATATTATAGAACCTCGGTAAAGGTGATGATAAGCCATGTAAGTGGGTCTCTGTATATAAAGATTGTCTTTA